TTTTGTCTTAAAAAAGGGTCGTAAAAAATCCCCTTAGTACCAAAGTCCTTTAAAAATGTACCTATAATTTTACTTAATTTTATTTAGTTAGTACCAAATTGTACCAAATTGAGAATAATAGTACCAAAACATGTCAACATTGTTCAGCCGACGCGTTTTATTAAAATTTCCTTAAACAATATAGTTTTTTAAATTTCCTTTAAAACCTCAGTACTTTTATTAATTTTATTCTAAACTCGCCGTCTAACAAGTGTTAGTTGTTTAAAAGACACACAAAAAGATAGACACAGTATTTGAAAAAAAAAATGAATACAAAAAATAACTATTAGTAGACTCTAGAGAGGGTCTTTTTTAGAACAAAAAAAAAAAAATCAAAATAAATTCTACAGCAACAACAAACACATGCTTTAGAGGCACAAACCAAACGACAGACGGACAAAACGACACACACAAACAAATTTGTAGCACAACAGCAGCGCGAAACAAAGTGATAAATCATTTTAACTGTCACTTTCGAAATACAATTTTATCTTAAAACAATATGAAAACAAAAACAACAATAACAAAAAGCTATAAGTAACAGAATATTTATTTAAAAATAAAGAAAAACTAATTTTCTTTAATTTAAATTAAATATTAAAAGAAATATAATTTTTAAAAAAATTTCCAATTTATTTCAAAAAAATCTATTTTTTAATTAAAGCGACGGCATTAAGTAAATTTTAAAAGATTACTCAATTAACAACAAAACAGCACAAGTTGTTTAAAAAACAAAATTTTTTTTATAACAAACTAAAGAAAAATAAAGGAAAAAATAAAAATACTGCACAAGCAAAAACAAAATGACACTCCACCCATTTTTAAAAGCCAACATATGACAGCCATATGAAAATAAATAAAGAAAAAACAACAACTATAACAAAAAAAAAACACTAAAAAGAAAATAACCAACACTTATGCGAAAAAAAACAACAACACAAGACGCAAAAGCACAACAACAAACAATAATGAAAAACTGCAAATACAAAATGGAAAAATGGCTGAATGATTACATAAAAAAGAGCGCAAAACTAACTTAAGATTTTTAAGCAAATAAGTCACTACTTATAATCAAAAAAGAAATTAAATTTTATATAATATTCAAACTTAATTAATTTATAGTCATTTCCACAACAAAAGTATTTATTTTTATTAAAATTCATATCAATTCTATAATTTTTTTGAAATTATTTCATATTGCAAAGCTCTCCCTACTTTTATTTATACTTCTCGCTAAAACATTCCCCTATAAATATACTCTTTGAAAAATTAATCTTTTTTATTTATTTTGTTGTAGTAAACAAAGAGGGGAATTAACTCATACTCTTACACTAACGCTCTCACTGCCTTAATCTCTCTTTAAAAAGCTGCTAAAGTAAAAAAGCAATTCGCTTTGAGTTATTTTTTTTAAGAATTTTCACTCATTTTCTCCAGTACTCTTGAGTGTGAGTAAAATTACTCATATTTTTACAGACTGTGTGGCAACTTTTCTGTATATTTTTTCGTTTTTTTTTTTTTTTTAAATAATAATTTCATATTTATTTTTTTGCGCGCAAAAAAATTCAACGCTCAGCTTAAAAATCATACACACGAAATAAAAATTATTAAGATTTATGTGCGAAAACATTTTCTTTGGGGGTCGTGACCGTGAGTCTATTAAATAAAATTTTGTATGTTCTCTGGTCTAGAATGTCTGCTTGTATGGCGATGAAGAAAAAATAAATGTAAAATTTTGATTTTTATGTAGGAAAAATAAAAAAAAATTTATTTAAATTAGAATTTGGTGGATTATATGAAAATAAAAGTATGTTTAAAATTTATATTTATGGTAATTGGAAAATTTGTAAAAAATTAAAGAAATTTAACGAAAGGCGTTGTTGAAGAATGAAATTAAAAGTGTAGAAATAAACCGGTATTGTATTTGAAAAATATTGTAATTTTATATTAAAACTATTACTTTATGAGAATAAGAATAAAACTGAATTGGAACAGCACTAGAACAGAACTATAACAGGACTAGAACAGATTTAGAACAGAACTATAGCAGAACCGGAACAGACTAAGAACAGAAGTAGAACAGAACTAGAACAGAACTAGAACAGAACTAGAACAGAACTAGAACAGAACTAGAACTAGAACTGAACTAGAACTGAACTAGAACTGAACTAGAACTGAACTAGAACTGAACTAGAACTGAACTAGAACTGAACTAGAACTGAACTAGAACTGAACTAGAACTGAACTAGAACTGAACTAGAACTGAACTAGAACTGAACTAGAACTGAACTAGAACTGAACTAGAACTGAACTAGAACTAAACTAGAACAGAACTAGAATAGAACTGGACTAGAACTGGACTAGAACTGAACTAGAAGTGAACTAGAACTGAACTAGAACTAAACTAGAACAGAACTAGAATAGAACTGGACTAGAACTGAACTAGAAAAGAACTAGAACAGAACTAGAACAAAACTAGAACAGAACTAGAACAGAACTAGAACAGAACTAGAACAGAACTAGAACAGAACTAGAACAGAACTAGAACAGAACTAGAACAGAACTAGAACAGAACTAGAACAGAACTAGAACAAGCACTTAGAACAGAACTAGAACAGAACTAGAACCGACTTAGAACAGACTAGAACCGAACTAGAACAGAACTAGAACAACTGAACAGAACTAGAACGAACGAACAAAAAAAAAACAACTCGAACAGAACTAGAACAGGAAATAGAAGAAGAACTAGAAAGAAAATAGAACAGAACTAGAATCGAACTAGAACAGAACTAGACAGAATAGAACAGAACTAGAACAGGACTAGAACAGAAACTAGAAACAGAAATAGAACAGAAAGAGAACAGAAATAGAACAGAACTAGAACAGAACTAGAAACAGAACTCGAATGAACTAGAAAACAGAACCAAAATAGAACTAAAACAGAACTAAAACAGAATAGAAACTGAAATTGAACTAGAAAGAACTAGACGACTAGAATGAACTAGAACTGAATAGATCTGAACTAGAACTGAACTAGAACTGACTAGACTAGAACTGAACTAGAACTGAACTAGAACTGAACTAGAACTGAACTAGAACTGAACTAGAACTGAACTAGAACTGAACTAGAACTGAACTAGAACTGAACTAGAACTGAACTAGAACTGAACTAGAACTAGAACTGAACTAGAACTGAACTAGAACTGAACTAGAACTGAACTAGAACTGAACTAGAACTGAACTAGAACTGAACTAGAACTGAACTAGAACTGAACTAGAACTGAACTAGAACTGAACTAGAACTGAACTAGAACTGAACTAGAACTGAACTAGAACTGAACTAGAACTGAACTAGAACTGAACTAGAACTGAACTAGAACTGAACTAGAACTGAACTAGAACTGAACTAGAACTGAACTAGAACTGAACTAGAACTGAACTAGAACTGAACTAGAACTGAACTAGAACTGAACTAGAACTGAACTAGAACTGAACTAGAACTGAACTAGAACTGAACTAGAACTGAACTAGAACTGAACTAGAACTGAACTAGAACTGAACTAGAACTGAACTAGAACTGAACTAGAACTGAACTAGAACTGAACTAGAACTAAACTAGAACTGAACTAGAACTGAACTAGAACTGAACTAGAACTGAACTAGAACTGAACTAGAACTGAACTAGAACTGAACTAGAACTGAACTAGAACTGAACTAGAACTGAACTAGAACTGAACTAGAACTGAATATTTCAAAATGTTACATTTGATTACTTTTTGGACCTTGTGCCTTCCTTATCCCTGTTTTTATTACTAATTTAGAAGTAAACCGGGTCATTCACTTAAGTTTTTTGTTGTGCCCCAGAAAATTGTGTCACTTACAGTGTTTTTTTTTTTAACAACAAACTTTAAACATTTTGCTGTAGCCATAAGGATATATATTTTTTTCAACTATATACGCATAAACACCCCACAAAAACATTAAATTTAATACGCACATTACACCCAAAAGAAAATTGGCCATTAAGTTTTCATAGAAGTAATTTTTTTTTTTAACAGAAAAAAGTAACGTCTTCCCAAAGAATTTAAATAAAGGTGTGTACCTTAATAATAAGGAATAGGTTACAAGGAAGTTTACTTTTTTTTATAAATACAAACAACTACAAAAGGAAGAAAATAAACAAAATAACAAATGCCTAAGGGTATGCAGAGTTTGGTGGTTGGGAGTATTGTTCAAAAAAAATATATAAGTAAAACCTTCTCTTGTTATAAAAATTATATGGCACTTCTTATTAACATTGTTTTTATGTGCCATTTAAGGTTATAAAATAAATTATTATTAACGTCATTTGAAATTACAACAGCATTACGATATTATTATTTAAAACTTTATTTAAAAGCAGGATGATGGTAACAATACAAAAAGTATATAAAATCAACTTTTTTTTTAAGCCAGACATAACGACGGCGCAAATTTTTGTTTGAAAAAAAAAAAAAAAAACGAAAATTTTGTTATTAGCCAATCTTTTACTCAGGTTTCAAATGAAATCATTTAATGCCACACAACCTACATTTATAGTTTTGTTTAAATTAAGATTTTAATACCACTGTTGTTTTTTTTTTTCTGTTTGCTTTTATCACTTTTAAACAATTTTTATATATTTTAGATATGAAACTGTCAATTTTATCAATAATTCCTATTTAAGCGGTTTTTTTTATAGAAATTTTGTTTAAAAAAATTGTTTTTCAATGATAAGTTAAGCTTTTAATATAAACATGACAAGTGTTACAAATAATATTATAAAATAAAAATATATAACTTAACTTTGCTTGGTTTTTTTTGGTGCTTTCATTTGGGTTTTTGTTAATACTTCATTTGTAGTTTATTTTTTTTTTTTTTGTTTTTTATAATTGTTTTGTTTAAATGTCATTTTTAACCTGGTTTTTTCTCTAATTTTGTTTTAGGTCGATGGTGTCGAAGAGAATGGTCATCACCTGCCGATACTAGAAATGCCGATGCCTCAAGACGATTATATTCCTCAGTCTTCCTGGGTAGTCCCGGTAAGTTAAAATATATGATTTATTTACGAAATGTTTTAAATTTTAAGATTTTTTAAGGAATTAGTAGTTTTAGCTTGCAGTTTTAGGGCTTAAAGTTGGTTTTTTTAATTTATAGAATTTTGTTACGAAGGCGTATGATTAATATTAATTAGAGGTTTTAATAGGGAAAAATTAATAAAAAATATTTCTGTCTTAAATAAAATTTTTGTAAAATAAGTGAAAAATAAACTAGATTTCAAAGTTTTAAAAACATAAGCAAAAAATTTAAAATTTTGAAAACTAAAGAAAAATTACATATAAATATAAAAATAGATTAACAAAAAAATTTTAATAAAAAAATTATAAGAAAATTAAATATAATATTAACTAGTTTGAAAGGAAATTTATATATTAAAACACATTTAAAGAATATTGTTAAACTTACCTAAAATTCATATGTTTTTTGAGAATTTACCATCAATAAGTTTTTTTGACATCACCCACAAAGTTCATCATTAACAACAAATGCATGGCAACAGAAAAAACCACATGAAAAGATAAGAAAGGAAATTGAACATATTTTTTTTAGTAAAATTATCGATTTTTATTAAATATTATTCAAAAATCATACAAAACCCTTCACTAAATATAAAAATAAAAAACCATAAAGATGAAAATCAACAAAAATTTTCAGTGAAGCATAAACATTTCGACAAATAAATGCAGTAACGAAGAAAAAAAAATATATATATTCACAGACTAAATGTCTAGCAAAATACAAAAAAAGCAACAAAACATTTAAATATGTTGTTGTAAGTGAAGCTTTTAGAGGCTGCACTTGACGTTTGTTTGTTGCAAATAAAAGAAGTTTTAAGCATAGATTTCATGATCTTTCTATTCAAATGTAAAGAACTTAAAAAACTGGCAAAAAAAAGAAGAACTATGTTCATACATTTGTTACAAGAGGCACGTCATCCTTCTCATCATCATCAGTAACATCAGCGTAGTCAGCAACATTTTGCTTTTTTTTTATTTTTTTTTTGCTGGCAACATGATGAGGCATACTGAACAAAACGTATATATAGAAAATAAAAAAACTTTAGAATGCGGTAAAAATTGTTTGATATTTTTGCTTGATTTCTTTTTACAAAAGAATTGCCAAGAGTTTAAACAACACTTAATGGCAGCAGCAACAACAACAAACTTGAAAAAAAAAATCAAAACAACAAATATTTTTAAATAGAGTTGCATTTAGGCTTTTATTTCGTTCAACAGCCAAAGAAAAAGGAAACACTGCAAAAATCAATGTTTTGTAAGTAAAGCGTCGGTGGCGGCATGTGTTGCCTTTAGTTTTTTTCTTTTGCTGGCAAACAGTTGTTATTTTTTTCTTTTCGTTTTTTTTTTTTACTATTTGGAATTCTCAGCTTAAGTTGCATGTGCAGCCAGTGTAACGCCATTTTTGCTAAACAGTAACTAACAAATGGCTGCATTATTCTAGACAACATTCTTCTACTTAAAACTGCTATGAACAGAAAAAAAAAACACAATTCTCTACTACAAATAGACGCCGTTAACAAACATTTAGCCAGGCCAGCAATATTGTTTTGAATTCAAAAAAAAAAAAAAATAGCCAACATAAAATAACAAGTAACAAAAAATAGTTTGTTTAAGGCCATGAAACAATATGCAAAAGAGTTGAGGTTTTTTTTCACTAGATGCTGGGTATTTCTAGTGAATGACTGTCTGTCTGTCTGCCTGCTTTGAGTGACTTAGAATGAAGAAAGAAAAAAAAAATAGTATTATAGGAAAAAAACCGCCAAAAGGATAATCAGCAACAATTTAATATTATTACACCACGATTTTTTCTATAGCTATAGAAAATAAACAGCTGGAATAGCTTAAAATTATATTAAAGTATTGAGAATTTTTATTTATTATAAAAATTTTATACAATTTTGTAAAAATATTAAAAATATTTGAAATGTTTATGTTACTTTTTGTGTTAAACCAACAGGACGTATGATTAATATTAATTATAAAGTTTTTTTTTTTTCTTTAAAATTAATAAACATCACTTCCAAGATACTTGGATCTAACTTCGACGAATGCCTGACAGTAGTAAAGAAAGTGCTCCAGAGTTTCACTGTCCTCTCCACATGCTCTACATTCGTCTGAATCCGCATGGCCAATTTTGTTTAGAAGTATGTGCTCGTAATCCTATGTGTCCACTCAGAACAAGTACCATCATACTAACTTCAGACTTGCTCATTTTGAGGAGATTTCTTGTCTTGTTCTCATCAGGGTCATCCAATATTATCTTTGTGGTTCTACCCACCGTTTCATTATTCCAAGAGGTCTTATGGCATTCCTTTACTCATATTTTTAATTCAGCTTTTGTTGAGTCGAATGGTTTTGTATTTGTCAGGTTAACTACCTTGAGCTTTCTTACCTTTAAGCTATTACATTCGCCCTTTCGTTGCCGACTACTCCCGAGTGGCCTGGTAGAGTATTCAGTTAAATACGGTCTTAGATTGAATTCTATCACCTTTTATCACCCTAATTGCCTCTGGCTGTCGGTAAATATATTAAAGGCTGTGGTCGCCATATTTATTCTAGTCCAATTTACAAATTCCGTTTTTGCTCGGACTTCTGTCTGGAAGCTTGTGTTATGATTAGGTAAACAGTGGTATATTTCTGTTTCTGGGTCTTCAATATAGAAGCCCAGGCCCACTTTGTCCCCCAATTTAGAGCCATACGTATAAAAATGGATTCCTACTGGTATTTGCTATAGTTTTCCGCTTGTTCGAGACATTCTATCTGGGATCAGCGTTTCAAAGTTTCCGACATATTCTGTGTCTGGTATGCGATCAGGCACGTCCGATGATTGTGTATAACCTTCCAATGTGTCCAGTATACATTGAAGACGTTCGCCTAAAGTAAAGTGCTTTACATACTTGTTAAATTTAAAAAGTTTTTTGCTTGAAATTTAGCATTTTTTAAAATTTTTTAAAACTTTCTTTCTAAAACAAAAAAGTTTTGTATTTCTGTAGCTATTTTATTTATTTAGTTAGTTAACAATTTTATAAATATTTCATTTATTTAGCTATTGAATTAAAGATGATTTTGTCGGTTAGTTTGAAAGTTGTCTTTTTTTTGGATTTCTTTAAGGTTGTCCCATAAATTCTTATTTACACTATAAAAATATATAGAGGTTTGTTTTTTTTTACTTTTAAGAAATCATTGAAAATCTTAAAAACAATTTTTTGTAGCTGTTTGTAACTTAAAAAAAAAAACTAAAACACTGTTAACAAAATCCCCAACTAGGCATAATAATTTCGCGCTTCAATGAAATGCGATACGTTTGAGTTGATGATGTTAAAGATGATCAACACGAATCTTAGTTTTTTTTTTATATTTTTGGTGGCTGTGGCCAACAACATTAATGTTAAAGCCATAGATGTATGGCTTAAAACTTGTGATGAAACGTTCAGTGGTATAAGCGAAAAAAATTAAAAAAAAAAAAAAATAAAAATCCAAAATGTGAAATAACCTTAAATCGTACATTGAAAATGATGATGAAGTTGGTGGGTTTTTTTTAAGCTTAAATATTTTTTTTTTTTTTTTGATTTTTTGTTTAAAGACATTAAGTCTTTAACAGAAAAAATATTGGAATTAAAGAAAGAAAATACACAATAAAAAAACTGCTGCTTGAAATGAAATGACTAAAAAGTGAATTCCTGAAACACACCTTAAAATCACTTGGGGATATCACTTCACAATATGAAGCTTTTGCAGCCAACAAATACACACAGACAGACAGACAAAAAAGAACAAAAAAAAATACGGCCTAAAAGTTAAAATAAAGTCTGGCGGGATGAAGTCTTTTTTTTGGATTTTTTCTTGCTTAAGAAAATTAAAAATAAACTTCATAAGACTTTCATTCATTTTGATTTCTTTGTCATTTAAGTTATTGAACATGCATTGATACACGTTTGTTAACATACAAAAAACATTTATACCCGTATTTAAGGTATAAAATGCAGACAGACAGACAAACGGAGAGTTTTGAAGATAGGACGGACATTATTATAACCATAATAATAATGAGTATAATGATGATGAAAAAGTTAAGTTTGAGTAAGAGCTTTGATGGTTAGCAGGCTTTAGGGTTTTGATAGAGCAGCAACATCATCCTTTTGTCTTTCTCCCCGGCATCATGATGATGAGTCTGAGTTAAGTCAAAGAAGGCTATAAACAGCAACAAGCTTGCTTTAAGTAAGCATCACATGACATTTGGCTTGCAGTTCATAAATAATCGTCTTAAATGTAAAAATTTCAAGTTTCTTTTCAAACTGTGAGTGTGTGTGTTTTTTTTTTTGCTTTTAACTTTTAGCCAGATTAAGCTTAAGCTTTAATTCTCACTTTGACTGTTTTTTTGTTTTTCTTAAACTCCCGGGAAAAAAGTATTGAAAATTGTTTAAAGGAATTTCCTTGGTTTTTCTGTTTGCTGAAAATCCTTTAACTAAAAATTTTAAATACTTGCTAAGAATTAAGGAAAAGACCACAAAAACAGTGTGTTAAAAATATTTAAACGTGTTTAACAAAACGTTTACATTTGATTTTTTTTTTTAATATTTTTTTGTTTTATTTCAAACTCCCAGGAATTTGTTTACTTCTTTGTTCAAAAACATTTTTAGCATATTAAATGTTTAAAAAAATATAAATAAAAAAAGAATTAACGAAAAAAAAAATTATGGCCATTGTAGGCAGAGTCACATTTCAACTGCAGTTTTCAAACTTATTTCTGTGATGATCCCATTTTAATATTCTAAGATGCTTTAAATATAAAAAATACGTGTTGCTTGTTAAAAAGTTTTTTTTCTTTTCTTCAAAAAAAATTGTTATTACGTTTATTGTATTCCTAATTGATTTTTGTCATTTCAAACCCAGAAAACCATTGTTTTCAGTCTTCTTTTTTTTTCTTTATTTTTTGTTGTTGTTGAAAAAAAGATGCATATTTAGCCACCATTTAAAAAACCATCATCATTATCATCAGCTTTTATTATTGGTTGTTAGTGAATTCATTTAAAATGCATTGTGCATCGCGCCTATTTGGCATTTGTTTATTTTAGTATGCAAAATTGGTTAAAGAGACATGACATAAACAAACAAGAAAGTTGACAACACTGTTTTTTTGGCTCTTAAGTTGTTGGCTGTTTGGCTGTGACTGTGTGTTGAAATAAAAACAAATCAGCCAAGAAAACAAAAAATTAAAAAAAAATCTGAATTTATAAACAATTTAATATATTTAACACGTAGAAGGTCATATTTAATGCATTATTTGTAGTTTTGTTTTGTCTTTCAATGTAAAAGAGATTTTTGCATAAGAAAATCAAGCTTCAAGTGGAAAAAGTGAAAAAAAATACAGCCTTGAAAAAGGGTGGGGATTTGATGACACTAAAAAGAATTAATTCTTTTAGAAAGACTTGTACCTTGGGAATTTTGTGCTTTTTATTTTAAAAAAATTTGATTGATGGCTGTTATGTGTCTGTGAAATATTTCAAAATTTTTTATAAAAAAAATTCCTGAAAAAAAATTCTAACATATGAAAGCCTTAATCAAGTTATGTTTTGAATTATGGCTTAGAAAAAAAAAACATGTTCGTGTTTAAAATGTTTCTCAATTTCTTTAAATGATAAATGGCTGGAAAAATATAATAATAGGTTAAAGCAAATCTAACAAAAGAACTTCAAACACCTGCTTAGTTAGTTAAAAAAATAACTGTTATAATAACAATCTTATCTTTAGCAAAAAAGCCTACTTTTAGGCTTATATTTTCATAACAAAATAAAGCCTAGTTTTAGGCATATTTACATAATTTAAGTTAGAAATTTTAATTTTCTTTAAAACCTTAAAACATATATAAATTTACTATTTTTTATAATTACAGACAATTACGGCACAAGTGCAAGTGGTAAGCTTATTTTTTTTATATAAACTTATGCTAAACTAAATACTTTTAAAACCTCTCACTTCTCCCTCAATATATGTATGTATTTTCCCTCAAAAATAAAATTTATAGCATGGGCATTTAAAACAATTTTTATCTCATACACACGCTATATAATTATACGATCAAGCGTAACCTATTATCAGTAACAGATCACAACAAAAATAAACCTCTGTTTAAGAAATAAATTCCAACAAAAAATGGTCACCCAAACTAAAAGAACTTCTCATCCTTAAAATATCTTCTGCCTATCATATTTTTTTTTTGTACAAATGTATGTGTATGTTGTGGATTTTTTTTTTTTTTTTCTTAACAAAAGTTATAAATTTGCTGATTAAAAACCAGCTTATCATTATTAAGGCCACGGCCTAAAGAAACATATACACATTCAAACTATCTTAGGCAGCCAGAGTTTTTGATTTCAAAATGAAGAAAAGCATTGAAAGTTATAAAGTTATGCCATCTCAAGAAATGAAAAAGCAGCAAAAAATGAAATACCTTTTTTTTGGAAAAAAAGCTTTCTTAAGATTGCGGGTGTTTCTTATTGAAACCAAAGATTTTTTGTTATTTCAACAACAAAAAATATATTTCCTGTGAAATACTTATTATAAGATTTTGGGTTTTTTTGTTAAATATTTAAGGAAAAAGCCGTAGGAGATGTTTTCATAAACATACTGACCTTTGTTTTAAGGGCAAAAATATGTTTAAACAACATTTTATGAAAAGAGAAAAAATAAATATTTGGAATTTTTTTTTTGTTATAGAAATAATAAGTTGTTCTTTTAAAGTTCTCGAAAAGTGATTAAGAATGACTAATGAATGGGGACTTCAGAGACAATTGTTTAACTAAAGTTTTATTGTAAATGCATAAAGCTTTTACTAAAGTTTTTCAAATATTTTGAAAGCTTATTTGAAAGCTTTCATATACTATTATATAACTTATTTATAACTTATCATTTTTTAACCTATTCTTAACAATCTGCTAAAGGTTGTTTAATATGTCCTTTCAAAAGAGGAGAGCTTTAATAATATTAAAAGCTTTTAAAAGAGCTTTAATATATTTAGCCAACTAATAACAAGCATTTAAGCTTTTGCAAAAGCCTACCCAATACCAACAGAGCTTTTGTTTTCTTATCAGAAATACATTTCCTTCTAAAGCTTTTCAAAAGCTTAAAATTATTTCATATTTTATATACAAACTCCTATTTTATTACTTTTTTAATTAATTTTGTAAAGCATTTCAATTAAATTCAATTTCTTTCTTTTAAACTTAATCCTCTTTAAGTCATGACCCCTAAAACCACAAGAAAAAAAAACAAATATCAATAATCATTTCAAAATCTTATTTATTTAATATTTTTCTTCAACATTTTTTCTGTTTGCATTAAACAAGTATTAATAATTCTCTCAAACTCTGTGTTTAAACACATGTTTTCCCACCTTATAAATGTTTGTCAAATCCGGCTAACTGTCTGCACTGGGGTTCTGTATGTATGTACGTATGTAAATTTATTTACAAAAAGAAAATAAATATATGAAAAAAAATCACCATATTGATTGTCAATTTTATTTATTATTAACGCTCATAATTGTCAAATTTGCCAAATTTATGGTCACCACCAGATGAAACGATTTCAAAAGAGACAAGGAAGGAGGGAAACGTATTGAACTGAACAGAAACGAACAAAACAAAAATATTTTTATCCATGAATTTACGACAAGAAATTGAGATCAAGACACCAAAAATGCAAAAAAAAAAACAAGACACAAATAATAATAATAAAAACTTTGAACGAAGACAACAAAATATGCAAATCTTGAAGCCCCACAACAGTTCAATACAAGGAAACAAACCAACAAATAAACCAGCTTACAAGTGACATTAATTTTTTTTATATATTTGTGGCAAAATCGCAAAAAAAGAAATGTAAAGAATTTATATGATTTTTGTATTTGAACACAAAACTTTTCAATTAATAATCCTACAAATTGTCATTGAGGGCAATAATACTTGTTTTTGTAATGATTTTAAGAAAGCAAAAACTAAATTTTTTTTAATTTATAGTTAAAAATTAAAAATTCTGTTATTTTTATATTTATTTAAAAAAAAAGTTAACTTCTCTCCTTGTTTTTTGCAATATTTTGTCTCTGTCTGTTAGTTATTTGTTAAAGTTATTTTATCTATAGTTATTTTATATGCCCGCCACATGATCGTACGTCAACTTTACACCACAGGAGGTTGAAGTTTATTTTGTATATTACATGATGTTTTTTTCTACGTTTTGGTTTTTTTGGTTGTTGTTTTTTTTTTTTTTTGACTGGCAAAAATTGTATTCGTATGACATTTCATATTATATATTCACACACCTATACAATTTATAGAACTCTTGCTGGTTTCGTAGTCATTTTTACACACAAAACAACATACACAGTCGTCATCGTCGCCGCGCTGATGTCGTTTTGTTGAACGCGCCAATTTGAGTTCTTTATTAGGAGACAAGTTTACAAGCGTTGTTGTTGTTGCAGTTGAAGTTTTTGTATATTCCATTTCAACCATGATGGCAGCCCAAAATCTTCCTCTACCAAACCAACCAACCAAGCAAACAACCATCCATCCATATACAAACCTACAAATGAATATCTGTTCATACATGCATATCTAAATGCAATTCATTGAATATCACATCACTTTTAGCATCTTTAGAGAAGAAGAATCATCATCATCAACATTTTCATTGTTGTTTATATGTTGCATGGTTGTACGTATGTATGTTTGTGCTGCTACAACGTTATCGCTTTGGTTGATGAAGATGATGGTGGTGGTACTAGTGGTGCTGGTCCTGGTGCTGATGATGAACGAGACAAGGTCTTTGTAGCAATGTAAAGTGTGTACACAGTTGGATATTTTAATATTTAAAGAGCTACTCAGCAACAAATTCATTACTTTCCACAAAAAATAGATATAAAAAAGAAGAAAGTTTAAATATTTTATTTTGAAGTTAATATTTAATGAGAAAAGCACAACTTTAATTTTAATTAGTAAAACATTAGTAAATTTGAAATGTAGCGAAAAAACAAGAAAGGAAAGCTTTTAAGCTATTTAAAGTTATTATTTGGTATTTTCAATGAAAGATATTATTAATTATTATAAGCTTTTTTATGAAAAAGCTTTTTGTTAAAAAAAATATATATTGAAAAGCTTTCAAAAACAACAAGTTATTCTTAATATGTATATATGTGTGTAGAATTTAAACACATTTTCAATAAAGCTTTCATGAAAGCTTTAAAATTTCAAAAGCTTTTCATATAGAACTAAATATTTTAAAAGCTTTTCTTAAATCTTTTTAAAATATATGTAGCGAAAAAACAAAAGAAGAAAGCGTTTGACCTAAGTATATTTAAGCTTTTAAAAGAAAATCAATTCTAAGCAGGTTTAAGAGCTTTTTAAAATTTTCAAGTCTATTCAAAGACATTATTTTCATATTTTCAATGGAAGATATTATTAATTATTAAAAGCTTTCTTTTATGAAAAAAAGCGTTTTTGTTAATAAAATTGAAAAGCTTTAAAAAAAAAAACAAGCTATTCTTAATATGTACTTATGTGTGTAGAATTTAAACTCATTATCAATAAAGCTTTCATGAAAGCTTTGAAATTTCAAAAGCTTTTCATATATAACAAAACATTTTAAAAGCTTTTGTACATTTTTTTAGAATATACTTAAATTTAAGGGTTCAAACTAGCTTTTAATAAAACTTTCATACTAGTCTTGACTGAAAATGTTATAAGAAAATAGGCTTAAAGCTAAAATTTTTCCTAAAACAAGTTTTATCATGTTTTAAATCAAAAAATTTTCTAAATTTGCCCTTTAAAAAAATATATAATTTGCATGTATGCAGATTAATTTCGTGGCTTATTTTTTCAAAACTTTCATATACACAAAACTATACATACAGCCACATATCCTTAGGCTGTTTTGACATCATAATTGCTTGCATATGGAATGGTGAAGAAATTAACTACAAAAAAATACTTTATGTTTCTCATTATACAATGCTTGTTTATGAAAATAGTTTTTTTTTATAAAAACTCAAACTTCCTTTAAATATTTTGTGGATTGCATATTATTTTAAAATTTAACGCATAAGTCATATTATAAACATGCAATATTCCATCATATTCACTCACATCATGTGAAAATCTTTCAACACGAAAGTCCAAAAATATAAAAGAATCGCAAAAATTAGTTTTATATGAAAATATTAACCAGTAGTTATAATAAGGCCTTTTATAGGATTAAATCTCATAATTTTTGTAGAAGTTTTTAGAAGGCAAAATATTTGTAAAATATAAGCAAACATAGGTCGAAGTAAGAGAAAGGAGTTCAATGTGTAATATCTACAATAACAATAACACAGAGGAAAAAAGAAATATACACGCCTGGTACCAAATTAACACCAAACTGTTTATAATTTTTTAATACCATCCGTTGTCAAAGTATATACATACGTACGACAACACTATGTAATGTTGACAACATTGCAACAATTCGTTGTCGAAATCTAAATTTTATACACATCCGTTGTCTAAATGTTAACAAACGTGGTAAGCTCACTATTGACAAACAATCCGTTGGCAATAGTGAGCTTACCACGTTTGTTAACATTTAGACAACGAATGTGTATAAAATTTAGATTTCGACAACGAATTGTTGCAATGTTGACAACGTTGCGTTTTCAACATTACATAGTGTTGTCGTACGTATGTATATACTTAGACAATGGATGTTATTGAAAAATTATAAACTCTTTGGTGTCAATTTGGTACCAGGCTTGTATATGTCCTTTTCCCTCTGTGTAAAGTTTAAATTTTGGTTTACTAAGAACATTTCTTTAATATTGTTGCAGAATTTGCCAACATGGCAACTTTCCCATCTATATATTGTAAGAAAAACAAAATCTTGCAA